TGGGGGCAAAGGGATGGTTGGGAACTGAAGGCCAATGTGTGGGGTCATGATGGTGGCTGAGGGCAAGGGCATTTCTCCCACTCCCTGACTCATTCTGGGCCCCTCAAGATTGAGCACACGGAGACAGATACCGTGAACTCCAGAAGCAATGGACGGCCCCCCACTGCTGCTGCTGTCCCCAAATCTGCGGTAAGTGCCCCTAATCCATGGCCAGAGGCAGGGAGGTGCTTCTGCTGAGATTATCCCGAGACCCCATGTCCCATCTAGAAAGCGAAGGGGGAGGCAGGGATCAGGGAAGGCAGCACTCTGCCTCCCTTGAGGAGCCTCGCCTCTTCCCGAAAGGAGTGCCACCCGCCAGTCCCCTGCAGGCCGGTGTGTCCCCACCCCTCCCTCATTACAGGGCCAGCTGCTCACGCTCACCCCCTGTCTCTCTCTCCTTGCAGAAATACATCGCTCAGGTGCTGCAGGACTCAGAGGTGGACGGGGATGGGGATGGGGGTCCTGGGAGCTCAGGGGACGAGCCCCCATCATCCTCGTCCCAAGATGAGGAGCTACTAATGCCTCCTGATGGCCTCACGGACACAGACTTCCAGTCTTGCGAGGACAGCCTCATAGAGAATGAAATTCACCAGTAAGGGGAGGGGGGGCCCTGGAGGCCACACCCTGCCCCACCCCACCCCCACCCCCCACGGACACTAAACTGCTAATAATTTATTAGATCTAAAGCCCCTTCCTCCTCCCCTTTCTCCCCAGCCCCTGCTTTCATTAAGGTATTTAAACCTGGGGATTTCACTGCTCTCCCCCGCAATGGAGGGAGGGAGGGAACCCCCCCCAGCCTCAGTGAGGAGAGCCCCGAGCCGGCCCCGGGGCAAAGAGGGGTGTGGATAGGGTTCCCCCAGATCAATGCCCCCAGGCTAGTAATGAGGTCAGGAAATGGTTAATGAGAGCCAAGAGGGGTACCTGGTGCCATGGCTGGAGACCTGGGGGGGCAGGTAAATCAGGGTCTGCCCCCCCCAGTTCTTTCCTCCCCCCAATGCCCCCCTGGGATCTGGTACTCCAGGGAAGTGGAGCCCCCGGCCATGAGTAGAGAGGGGGTACTAGTACGAGGAAGAGTCAGGCCCTGAGTTGGGGGGTGGTGACCTGGGGGGTGGACATGGCTGACACTGGAAAAATGGGGTTTTGCACTGTTTTTTTTTTTTTTTCCTTTAAAATAAAAATGAAAAGAAAAGCTCTCAGGTGATGTCTAACTTGTGCTGCTGCTGAGCTGGACACCAAGGTCCGGGCCAGCCACCCTCTGGCTGTGTGGAGGACCTGTTCAGAGTTACCATGTGACCCTGGGCAAGAGACTCCCGGACAGCGCACGGGGCCTTCATTTCTGCACAGGGTGAGCAGAGTGGTGGGAGGGGCTGCAGCGGCCCATCAGCTCTGCCACCATGCCTGCCCTGAGGAATTGTGGGGCCGCTCTCCCTGACAGCCACGTAGAGGGGACAGAGATTTAAGGCAGCAAGTAGCAAAGCCACAGGTACACCCTGGTGCAGGAAGAGGGCCTTTTGGAGGGAGATCCCAGGACGATGCTTCCAGAAAAGGGCTCTTAGTGGCAGCCCTGGAGGGGGAAAGGCAAGGAAATGGGGCCATCAGTCACCAGGTGAAACGCTGTCAGCATTACTTGTTGACGTTGCTACATTTTATTGAGTGACTATTATGTATCAGGAATTTTGCTAAGCAAATGACCTGCTTTGAAATGTCTGTGCCTCAGAAGGCCGCTCTCAGGTCAGGCATGAGTTTGCTGTTTGCTGTGAGGGTTGCCATGAGATAACAGATAAGCGCTCACTCAGCCTGGCGCCCAGCACACAGCAACACCTAATCACTATCATTAATTCTGTAACTGCAACCATAATTAATACTGTGATGGCGCATAACTAGTAGTACCTACAAAGCAGGTGTGGTTTGCCTCTTGTTGGAAGAGGACAGACACTCGGGGGGCGATGGGGCTTGCCCATGGACACAGGCCAACAAGGGATCTTGGGACGACCCTGTTGAGCATCTCAGTGAGTTGCTGGCCCATCTGTCCCTCCCCAGGAATGCCCAAGGCTCTCCCCCAAAGTCCCCTCCCACCCCTCCAGTCAAATATTACTCAACTTCTAAGGCCCAGCTCAATCTACCATCTCTGAGGGATTTCCTGTGACTGCTAACTCCCACCGGCCTGAGGCCCACAGAGCCATAGCTGGGTCCTGCTCTCACCAGTCCCCCCATGCAACCTGGGAAAGCCACCTCTCCTCACTGGGCCTGTTTTCCTCAACAATAAAGTCAACCTGGTGGCACAACAGGTTAAAGCGCAGCACTATGAAGCTGGCCACAGCTGCTTCAGCACAAGTTCACAAGTTCGATCCCCAGACAGGGAGGTGACCCACATGGTGCAGCAGACTTCTCATTGCTCCCCTCAGCAGTGTATTTCAATCCATCTGCCTGTTTGGCTCCCTACTCTGTCTCTGGTGAATCTTCTCGCCCCCCTGCAACTCTGGCCTGTACCCCACTTCTGAGTGCATAAATCTTAAAAAATAAAATGAACAGCATGACCCAGTGACCTCTGAGACACCAGAGCATCATCCTGCCCACCCACCAGCCACCTGCAGAATCCAAATTGAGTCAAGGAACTCCAGAGGGAGAAAGATCTCAAGGAGGAAGAGCGAAGAGAATAAAACAGCTACCACAGAGACCTGCAGACCAGCAACCAGACACCAACAGGGGGCAGCAAACAGCAAGGGGTAGAGAAGCCACCTGCACCAGTGCTCCCAGGTGGCCGGCTGTAGGCAGACAGGGTAAGAGAGGCCCAGACACAGGAAAGATCAGGGCCAGAGCCTTTGGTCCATGCTGAGGCTTCTACTTGTCCCAATATCTGCAGTCCTGGGATCTGTGGGCTCCCAGGTAGAAGCCCCCCAAATAGGGGAGGGAGCACGCAAGGGTGGGGGGAGTAGAGTGTTAGTTCAAGGGCAGGTAGAAATCAGATGTGAATTTCAAGAAGCACAAAGAACTGGCCCAAAGGCCCCAAATAACTGTCCAGCTTGAATGCTCTACCAGACCCTCCTGAGTGCAGACCCTGAACTGGGCCAAGCTTGAGCATTGGCTGAGACCTAGAGGAGCCTGAGTTAGGCAGCAGCTCAACCCCTTGCCAGCAAGCATGACGTACATGGTGGGGCTGGAGGGAATCACAGGGTGTTACGTGTGGGAGCCCAGAGGCAGGTCATTGTGCCTCTGGAAAGTTGTTTACTGTTGGGTTCATTTTTACTGTTGAGAAAATTAACAGTGAAAAAGAAGTGATGGGGCAGGAAAGTGATAGGATGGGATGGGAGTCTCAGATAAGGACCTGGCCCCAGGTAAAGACTACCAGTGTTTGGGAAGGCTGAGGTGACCAGAGGAAGCAGGGGACCCAGCCTCTGAAGGGTCCACAGTCTCTTAAGTTCTTTGAAACACAAGCTAACGAAGGAAAGAACCAGAAAAGAAGGCTGATGTTGACTGGGGTGGGGCCAGTGGGGCCCAAGGTCTCAAGCATTAAGAAACAGCCAGAAAGGTTTTGAATCAAGGACCCTGCTCATGAAGTCCCCTCACTTCTCCTGCAGCCCATTTTCTGTATAGATGGGTAGACACCCCCGACGCCATTTGCCTGGCAGGAGCCATTGTCTGCACAGCATGACCTAGAGAAAGCTTAGTCTGAGCCTCTGGTCAGTACCTCCGTTCCTCATGTCCCCATATGCTTCCACATCCCCTAGGGAGCATCTCCTAACACCAAATTGCAGGGTCTTCCAGAAGGAGCTGAAGTTCCAGGTGTGCAACCCCAGATAATGCCCACATGGCAGAGTTAAGGTCCCCAGCAGAGGCCATGGCCAGGAAGGGAGGCTAACAGAGGACATCAGAGCCCACCTCCACCCACACCATGCCCCACCCTCATCACAGGCAGAGTGGGGTGGGGGTGGGGTGGATGGTTCACAACAGTGTCCTTTAACAAGCATCTCTTCACCAGGCATCAGTGTCCAGTCCAGGCTGACTGCTGTCAAGGCCCAAGATGAGGATGATAGAGTCCCAGAAAGGGGCAGGAGGCCACTGGGAGAAGTCACTTCCTCTCTTTTCAGCTGGGCTCAGCAGAAGACAAAGGATCAGCGCTGTAACTTCAAGTTCAGCTACTGACCAGTTGTGTGACTTTGAACAAGCCGGTTCATAATTCTCAAAAGAGAACTCTTTTTCCAGACACACATCTCACACCAACCGCTCCTTCAACTCCAATCTGAACCCTTCCCCTGGGACATGCCAGCGGCCTTGACCAAGCTAAGGAGAGTATTATTGGTTGTATTGAGTCCCCCTCAGAAGATATGTTGATGTCCTAATCCCCAGTGCCTCAGAATATGAGCTTATTTGGAAATAAGGTCACTGGGGAATGGCTGGTTAGGATGAGGTCAAGCTGGAGAAGGACAGGCCTCTGACCCAATGCACCTGTCATCCTTCTAAGAGCAGGAGAGAGCCCCAGAGGAGAAGGTCATGTGTAGATGCAGATACGTGCACAGAGCCCCTGAGTCAGTGGGAAAGTGGTTGTTGGCAATGAGGAAGCTTTTGGAAGAAAAAGATCATTTTGAGGTGTCAGGACAACCTCTTCCTGAAAAAACAGTGCTGAGGGGAGGGATTTGGACTTATTCTGACGGTAAGACACAGGGAAGGCAGCCAACCTGCTGGAGGCCACTGGGGGTTGGGGGGCATGGGCTGAGTCTCCCATGGTCCCTGAGAGATGGCCCTCAGGTGGTAGATGGAGACTAGGCAGATGGGAAAGTGCTAAAGGGCTAAGTTGCTGACACTGCTAGTCTGGGGGGGGGGGGGATGGGAGGGAGGAAAGACCGGGAAGGCAGCTGTTAAGGGGTGCCAGTGGCCTAAGAATTCCACTGCAATTGGAACATTCTGGGTGGGGGTGAGGTCTCTTCTCCCCCTCCCCCCACAACCGTCAACTGTCAAGCGCCATGCTGGCCACCAAAAAGCCATCCTCTGAAGGTAGGTGTGCTGGAGGCTCGTCCTGTTCACAAATCTCTGCAGATGAGGGCATCCCCTCAGGAGAGGGGCCAGTGCCCCTGAGGGTGACTCCTCCAGCAGGTTGGTTGCTCCCCAGGAGGAGAAGCTGGGCCTCATCCTCTGACAGTGTGGGAAAGAACAGGCCACTGGCTGTGAGCCCCAAGGAGCCCTTCTCCTCCTTTACTGGAGAGACTGGGGTCAGGGAGAGGACTGGGAAAGCTGCCTGCAGAAAAGCATCTTTGTGGGGGAAGCTGGAGCAACTGTTAGAGAAATAAAACAGTGGATGCAGAGACACTCTCCCCAGCCTAGAAAAACAGGCCCTTGGTCTAGAAAGATCAAATTCTGGGAAGGCCTCAGGAGCAGGCCAGACCCACAGAGGCAAGCCTGGAGGAGGCCTCAGGACCTGGGGGAGATGGCACTGCGGGGTGGTGAGGAGCTGGGCAGAGCAAGCCATTCTAGGGGGTGGGAGGTAAGTGATCACAGGGTAGCCAACTCCAGCCAGCATCAGGCTCAGCCTGTTAGGGGCCTAACAAGCCCTGCTCCTCACCCAGCCCAGAAGACCCAGGCACCCAGCCCCAGCCCACAGCTCCCCAGCCCCTCACCATCAGCCTGAATGCCTGAAAGATGAGGTCTAGGCCTAGGAGGAGACCCCAAAGCCAGCCCTTGCTATTTCAAACTTCCTGAGTTTGGACAGCCTCACCTCTTCCTAGCTCTGGAAATTCAACTGTCTCTACATCTACAGGTCCCCAGTGTGGGGATGGAGTTGCCACCCCCACCCTCAGGGGGACTTCCTGTGTGATCGGGGACAGGTTATGTATTGGGGACAAAAGTCTGGCTTCATACAGGCCTAGTTTCAACATGATGTTCTGGACTCTGCGTGTCCTTCCAGCAGTCTACTTTGTCTGTCCATCTGTGTATCTCAGCTGGTGCACGCCCTTTACCACGTGACAGGGCTGGGGCCCTCTCTGGAGACATTTTTTTTTATAACTGGTGGAGAGAGAGGGAGAGAGAGAGAGAGAGAGTGTGTGTGTGTGTGTGTGTGTGTAACTCCTTCACATTCTTTCCCCTAGCAATTTGGACAGAAAATATGCCACTTAATCTTCCTCTCCCCTTACATAGTCCACACGCACATCTTTCCCTAATCTGAGGGGACGGGAGTTTTCGCTACCATTTCTAAGAAGGGCCTAATGCAGAGCAGAGGCAGACAAGCCTCAGTGGACCCCTTGTGATGGGTTGCTGCTATCCCTGTGACCATTCAGTACTGTGCCCAGGGCTGTGACTGGCAGGTGAACAGTCAATACTGTTGGGCAGCCAGGTCAGTGAGAAGGCAGTTTTAACATTTTCCCAGCACGTACTGGATGCCAGTCTTTCTCATCTATTGGGTATCATTTAACATGGAAACCTAAGAGAGATAGTAGACTCTATATAGGTAAAGAAACCTCGACTCAGAGGGCCTCCCTGGAAGTCTTAGCACTATGAAGCTATCAGCAGCCACTGCAGCATGAGTTCGATCCCTAGCCAGGGAGCTGACCCACATGGCACAGCAGACCTCTCCTGTCTTGCCCGCTGCTCCCTTCAGCAGTGGATTTCAGTACATCTGTTCTGCTCCCCACTCTGTCTCTGGTGAATCCTCTCATGCCCACACTTCTAGCCTATACCCCAGCTCTTGTAGGCACAAATAAAGAAATCTTTAAAAAAAGGAAAAGAAACCTATGCTCAGAGATGTGAGGCAATTTGCCCAAGGTCACACAGCTACCCTCTGGCTCCATGCAATCTAGGGCACTAACTCCACAGAGGAGGAATAAGCCACCTCCTGACCCTGCTGACCTGATCCAGCTCAGTCCCCTCTTCCAGCAGAGGGGGAGTGGCTTAACAAAGACCACCGGAACCAAAGCCTGCTCCCCACTTTCAAACATGGCCTCTGCCCCACCACCAAGGCCCCCAGGTAGGGGTGCTGGGTCGCAGCATGAACCTGCCTGCCCTGGTCTGCCGCTGCCTCTGCTGCCTCCTAGGGTACTGCCTTGAGGAAGTCCCCAGCACCTTGCCTCGGTTTCTCCCTCTGTACAGAGAGGATAATAACCGTGACGGTGTTGGGATGTGCTAATGCATGTAGTATGGAGAAGCACACCAGGTAGGCACTGCGTCCTCAAATGCTGTTAGCTATTATTATTTTTTATAAATGCTACCTAAGTGCTAGTTATTGGAGTAACTGAAAGATAATTCTGAATATCTTTTCCTCACAAGCCGATGGCTCCATGGAAGAAGTCAAGGATGTGTGTCAAAGTCTTTCTTCGGCAAGTGCATCCCAATGCTTATAGCCAGTGTGCTTCTCTTAGTGGAGGTCAGGGACCCCAGGCCCCAGGGGCCCCAAGGGGACTGCAAAGAGGTCTTCTATAGCCAGGATCTCTGCCTGTTCCCCACCGACACTCTGGCTTCCCAGTCCAAGACAAGCCCAGCTCAGGTGTGGCCTGGGAGGAGTTGACCGGTCCCCTTTAGTGGCTCAAGGGTGGATCCTAACAGAAGGGAGGGTCCCAGGAGTAAGCCACAGCGTCCACCCCTTTGCTGACAGTTGTTGGACCCATATCTGTGGGAGAAACACAAACCTCATCCCTTCCATGAACAGGCAGGAAATATCATTCCGAAGGTGTATTGCGCACTTACTGCGTGCTCAGTAAGACCGCAGAAGGAAACAGACAAAGCTCCCCACCCTCAGACCACAGCTTTCATTCCAGTGAGCGAGGAAAACATTAAGCCATATAATACTCCAGGGACGGTAGTGGCCAGGGAGTGGGAGCTGGGCAGGAGAGAGAAAACAGATAAAAAATAGTCCTGTGGACTATGGTGATGGCACACGGGTGATTTGGTGATGGGAAGCCCACGGGGATTGCAACTGAGATGGAAAAGGGCTCAAAATGATGTAAAAATAAACTATTATACTATTTAAAAAAAAAAAAAAAAACAGCAGTCCTGGGGAAGACAGTGCAGTCAGGCACTCCTTCACAGAAAGTACTGCCTGAGCCCCTGCGGACCAGGCACTCTGCAAGACAGACTGAAGCCAGCTGGACCGGAGCTTCCCACCTTGAGGGCCCAAAGCCTCAGGGGGCCGGGTTCACTCAGCAGGCAGACAGGGGTGAGCTGCCCTGACAACTCACACAGCCCTCAGTGCTGCTTGGGCGTGTCCAGGAGGAGGAGGCACGGAGTGGGGGTCTGAAGGGTCGAACAGGATTTCTCCCATTTCTGACCCCAGCGGGGTCCCCAAAAATGATCAGGCAGAGGAGAAAACTGTCCCAGGCAGCTGGGTAACAAGGCTTCCGGGCCCAGTTGGATTGGGTGTGTCAAGCTAAAAGCAGCGAGAACAGAGGTTGTTCCTGTGCCTGGGGAAGTCCCAAGGCGACACTAATGTGGGTGATGGTTTTGCTCGGTAGAGTTAAGAGGTAGAGTTAAGAGGGCATCGGAGAAGTCCAACCGCAAATGTCTATGGTCCCCTCAGTTGAAGAATATGGGAAGATGGTGCTGGGGCCACAAGACTTCCCGCTGAGGAGAGGCACTGCCCTCAAGGTGGTGTAGGATGAAGGTCACTATCGTGCACTGGGGTGGGACTCAGTCCCGCAGCTACCCCTCACGCGGACCTTGGGCCAGCTGCCCCTTCTTCTGGTAACCGGGGATACTGCACAGGCAAGCTAGGGCTGTGTGTCAGCCTGGCTGTGTCTGTCCTCGCAGGGGAGGAAGAATTACTAAAATCCCCTGTTTTTTCTTTTTCTTTTTTCTTTTTTTTTTTTTTAAGATTTATTTATTTATGCATACAAGAACAGGCCAGAAGTGCAAGAGGGGAGAAGATTCACCAGAGACTGAGTGGGGAGCAGAACAGGCAAATCGATGAAGTACACTGCTGAGGGGAGCAGCAGGCGGGCAGGAGAGGTCTTCTGTGCCCTGTGGGTCACCTCCCTGACTGGGGATCGAACTTGTGCTGCAGTGGCTGCTGATAACTTGATAGGGCTGAAGCATAACTCCTTGTGCCACCAGGGAGGCCCATTCTTTCTTTGTATTATTTTTGTTTAAAGTTTTATTTATTTATGCATACAAGAGCTGGAGCGCAGGCCAAAAATGCAAGGGGTGAGAGGATTGACCAGAGACAGAGTGGGAAGCAGAACAGGCAGCTTGACTGAAATTCACTGCCGAGGGGAGCAGCAGGCGAGACAGGAGAAGTCTGCTGCGCCATACAGACCAGCTCCCTGGCTGGGGATTGAACTCAGGCCATAGGCGTCATCGTGCTAAGATTTACTCCCTAGGCCATCAGGGAGGCCCAGGTACCTGTTTTTTTCTCTGACGAACTCTTCCCTAAGTGGGCTGCATCCAGGTCCCCCTCCAGACAACCCAGAGCCCTCCCGCCCTTCTCTATAACCTCCCCTCTCCCTCAGTACCTATTCTTCCCACACCCCAGCTCCAACTGGGTTCTGTAACTTACACCACATCCTTCCTCCCCTGCCCCTAAACACTTCCTGATCCCAGAGTCAGCTGAGAATGTGCGGAGACTGAGGGCAGAGTGCACATGGAGATGCAAAGTTGATCAGGCCTGTGGTCTTAACTCTTCTTCCTCCTCCTCCACACTCTTCTCTGGACCGTCTCTTCCCCTGGGTCCAGTGCTGGTGACACAGGACAGTCCGTCTGGGGGACAGCTCGGGTGTGCTCAGGAAGGGATGTGAGCAGGCTGCCCACCCTCTGGGGGGCGAGGTGTGGACTGGACCCAGCTATCTGGGCTAAAATCTGTCAGCCAGCCTAAACTTTCCTCCAGAGATTCACCCACAGGACCCCCACGGGCCATCCCCTGATTCTCCCTCTCCCCCCTCAGCCCCTTTTCCTTTGACCCTGCCCTCTAAGCTCCATTAATTCCTCTCTTCCCAAAGAGTGCCTATTTGTATGGCCCAGAGATCATTTTTTAACAGCTTCATTGCGCTACAACCATCCACCCATTTCTAGCACAGTTCTGTGACTTCTGGTACATTCACAGAGCTGTGCATCCACCACAATTAATTTACACTTCAAAGAACCCCTGAAAGAAACCCGTTATAACATTTTTTAAAGATGTTATTTATTTATGCATACAAGAGCTGGGGTGTAAGCCAGAGGTATGGGGGGGGGGGGTGAGAGGATTCACCAGAGACAGAGTGGGGTGCAGAACAGGCAGATCTACTGACATAAACTGCTGAGGGGAGCAGCGGGCAGGTCAGGAGAGGTCTGCCGTGCCATGTGGGTCAGCTCCCTGGCCGGGGATGGAACTCATGCTATGCTGCATTGGCTGCCGATAACTTGGCAGTGCTGTGTCTTCAGTGCCTGTGCCACCAGGGCGACCTATATACCCTTCAGCCAACAACTTCAGATTCCCCCCAGCCCAGGGCAACCACTAATCTTCTTTCTGTCTTTATATAAACTGGCCCATTTGGGGCATTTTATATCAAAGACTCTTACACTAGGTGCTGCTTTGTGGCCGCCTTCTCCACTTACTGTAACGTTTTCAGGGTTCGTGCATGCTGTGGGGTGTGTGTGCGTGTCACTTCATCTGCGCATCCTTCCATGGACATTGGGTCCCACCCCTGTCCTTCTGGCTGCTGGGAGTAATGCTGCCACGAACATTTGTCTATAAGGCGCTGCACGGACATATGTGGTATTTCTCTTGACAACTGACCCAGAGGTGGACTTGCTGGGTCAGGGGGTCACTCTATGTGGAGCTGTCTGAGGGCCTGCCAGGCTTGCCCGCCGGCACCAGCAGAGTGTGAGAGGTCCGGCTTCAGCACATGCTCGCCAGCCCTTGCTGCTGTGCACTTTTCCGTGATCGCCATCCTAGTGGGGTGATGCAGTGTCCCACTGTGGCCTTGATTGTGTTTCCCCAGGGACCAATAATACTGAGCAATTTTTTTTCATGTGATTACCAGTCATGTGTATATCTTCTCATGCAAAAACATATTCAGACCCTTTGTTTTTTTTTTTAATTTTTTTAAAGATTTATTTATTTGTGCTTACAGAGCTGGGGTACAGGCCAGTGGTGCAGGGGTGGTGAGAGGATTCATCAGAGGCAGTGGGGAGCAGAACAGGCAGATCGACGAAGTACACTGCTGAGGGGAGCAGCAGGGGGGTCAGGAGAGGTCTGCCGCGCCATGTGGGTCACCTCCGGGGCGGGGATCGAACTCATGCTGAAGTGGCTTTAGCTTCTTAGTGCTGCGCTTTAACCCGCTGCACCACCAGGGAGGGCCTCTTTTGTTCAATTTTTAATTGGGTTATCTGTCTTTTTCTTATCAAGCAGAGGCCGTTTTTACTGACACGGGCATAGCAGCGCACATAAGCCACAATCGACTCAAGGCCAAGGGCTTGGGCCAATACCACAACGCCCAGAACTACAATAACCAGAACTTTGAGGATCTGCGAGCAGCCTGCCTGAAGAAGGGGGAGCTGTTTGAGGACCCCTTATTCCCTGCCGAGCCCTGTTCACTGGGCTTCAAGGATCTGGGCCCCAACTCCAAAAGCGTGCAGAACATCTCCTGGCAGCGGCCCACTGTGAGCACTGGGAGGGGAGGAGGGGAAGAGGGGAGTCCTGGGGTGGGGGCCCAGTGACTTTGATCATCTCCATCCCAGCCCTGGTGCTAGACTCTCCGGGCTGGGGTGGTTCTGGGCATGTTTCAGCAGTGCCTCTCAGATAACCCCTGGGAAAGCAGTGACCTTTGCCACCGCACTACAGTTATGCCAAATTGACCCTGTGCCCTCTCTGGTGCCCTCTCTGCCCCATGGCTTCCCCTAGAACTTAGAAGTGGGCACAATACCCCCCAGGGAAGGCAGGAAAAGGGGTTGTCCGAGGGTCCCTGAAACATTTATTCCTTCCCTGCAGCAAATCACAAGCAATCCTGAATTCATTATGAATGGAGTCAGCCCGACAGACATCTGCCAGGGGGTACTCGGTGAGTGGGGTGGGCGAAGCTGCCCAAGGAGGGGAGCAATAGGGGCCTTTCGAGGCTGGGGGGCTGAAGGGACTAGATTCAGACAACCTCTTCTGTTGCCCTGCCCGTCCCCTTTGGAAGAGATGGTGACAAAAGTGTAGGGAACATGTTCCCGCTCCTCCCCTACTCCTGTACCCCACCTGCTGCACTCCATGAATGGGAGCAAAAAATTGGGACGTTATGTTAGTTAGCCATCACCACACAAGTTACCCCCAGGCTTGGGGACTTAAAGCAGCAGTCGGCGTCCACTGTCTCACAGTCACTGTGGGGCCCTGGTTTGGAAGCAGCATCGGCAGCTGGGCCTGCTCAGAGTGTCTTGTGAGAGTGCATAGCGCCCCACTGAAGGTGTTACAGGAGCTGGGGGGTCGACTTCCAACAAGGTGGGCTCACCTGGCAGGTGGCCTGTTGCCAGCTGCAGAGGCTTCTCTGTCGGGACACCCGAGTGTCCACAGGCCTGGTCGCTGGCTCCCCACAGAGTGAGGGGTACAGGAGCAAGAACAGGAGGATGCCATGCTGACTTTTTTTTTTTAAGATTTATTTATTTATGTACACAGAACTGGGGTGCAGGCCAGAGGTGCAGGGGCGGTGACAGGATTCACCAGAGACAGAGTGGGAAGCAGAACAGGCCAACTGACAAAGTACACTGCTGAGGGGAGCAGCGGGCGGGTCAGGAGAGGTCTGCCGCGCCATGTGGGTCACCTCCAGGGCGAGGCTTGAACTCATGCTGCAGTGGCTTTAGCTTCTTAGTGCTGTGCTTTAACCCGCTGCGCCACCAGGGAGGGGCCCCATACTGACTTTTGCCACCTACTCTTGTAATAGGTGAAATCTATTAGCAGACAGAGTGAAGGGTGCCCCGGGACACCCAAACCTGCCTGCTCTAAATAGGTTCTTCTATACCTGGCAGCAAGCAAAATGTACCCTAGTGAGCTAGACCTTCGATAACAAAGAACTTTAATATAATTAGTGTGCTATAGAGAGAAAAGAAACAATATGGTTGAAGAGTTTCCCATGAAGCACCCATGGCTACCCATCCCCTCATGGGTAAATGCCCAGACAGACGGCCCCTCGGGGCTGCTGAGGCCCAAAAGCTTGCCACAAGTCTAAGGCACATTCTAGCAGGGACCCACAGGAAAGGGGCGGAAGGGGCCAGGCCCCTTCCAGTCTGGAAGGAAAAGGCAAAATCAAAACTTAAGATTAAAAAAAAAGCCGCCTCAAGGGTCTCTCACCCACGTCTCTGTCTCTTTCAAATGTCAAGTGCCCCAAGTCCCTGGCACAACCCCAAGGCCGAGAAGCAAGCTCGGCTTCTTCACGTGTCTCTCTGCTCCGTGTGGGGTCTCCTCCAGTCCCCTGGATCTCCTTCCTTCCTTGGCCCCATCCTCTCTATCTTCTCCCTGCCCAGGTCCACCCTTCCTTAGGGTGGGGCAGGGAACCTGGATCCACCCCATTCCCTGGGGATTAACCTGTGCAGTCTCAGCAGAACACACTATAATCTCTGCCAGGTTCTATTTGTAAAATGCAAGACTTAAATCTGTTCATGAGAAAGGGGAGGAGAACCAAACTTTACTCATTCAGGAGAGGATTTAAAACCACTGCAGGTGCTAGAATTTTCTCCATGTAGGGTAAAGGAGCAATGGGTCTCCTCAGCCCCCTCTCCCATCCACAGCCCCAAGATAGCTTCCTCCCGAAGCCTGGTTCTGTTCCACTGCTTCCTCCAAATGCTCTACTGAAGCTGTCAGGACAAGGCCAGTGTGGGCAACCTCTGGGCCTAAATTCTGTCCCATGTGCAGCAGAGCAGAGGCCTCAGAGCCCTCTTGCCCACAGTTGGCACTGTGGCTCACTGAGCTGGAGGAAGAAGAAATGGCTTTTCCCTAGGCAGTCTACATTTTTTTTAAGATTTATGTATTCGCACAGAACTGGGGTACAGGCCAGAGATGCGGAGGGTGAGAGGATTCACCAGAGACAGAGTGGGGAGCAGAACAGGCAGATCGATGAAGCACACTGCTGAGGGGAGCAGCGGGCGGGTCAGGAGAGGTCTACCCTGCCATGTGGTCGCCTCCGGGGCAGGCAGGGATCGAACTCATGCAGAAGTGGCTTTGGCTTCTCAGTGCAGTGCTCTAACCCGCTGCGCCACCAGGGAGGGCCCGGCAGTCTACTTTTTTATAAAAGATTTATTTTTTTTTATTTATGCATACAAGAAATGGGGTATAGGCCAGAGACAGAGTGGGGAGCAGAACAGGGGGATCTACTGAGATACACTGCTGAGGGGAGCAGCGGGCAAGACAGGAGAGGTCTGCCACGCTGTGTGGGTCACCTCCCTGGCCAGGACAAAACTCATGCCACAGTGGCTGGCGATACCTTGATAGTGCTGAGACTCTAACCCCTGTGCCACCAGGGAGGCCCCCTAGACACTCTGTTGGTGAATTGGAGTTTCCTTGACTTCCCTTTCCCAACTTCTTTGCCTCATTCCAAAGAGATCATTGGTAATCATGGCCTTCCTGGCGACTCCAGTCTCGGCCTGGCCAGAGGTACCCCAACATGTACACCATGCTGCCCTGTGAGGGGAAGAGGAGACCCAGTGAGGTCTGAGAGACCCAGAAGGGAGATTACAAAGGATGACCTTAGACTGGGAAGACTGCCAGTGTGAACCATGATCACCTGCCCCCAGGACCCAACTAGAAACCAGACGGAGCTCCTTGGGTGGCCCACCTCATGTGGTGACACCAGGGAGAGAGGCCTTGGGGCCATGATGACTACACTGTTGTAATCGTGGTGTGGGTGTGGGTGTGGGGGACACTGTGAGAAAGGGTGCCTGGAATTGGTTCAAGGGACAAGAGGTGACGTTTGAGACTGAGTTTCTCCTCAAGAGAGCAGGTCCTAGAGTGAAGAACAAGACCACGGCCAAACCCCCCTCCAACCCACCCCACCCCTCAAATCCCAGTCACAAGCATCTGGCTCTGCGCTGTGAGTCTCTCTCCTAACAGAGAAGGGAGAGGAGCTCGCCCCACCCCCACCCCCACCCTCAGTGCCTGTCCCTTCTGTCCCCTTCTCCCTACCAGCTCCGCTAAACATGTCTCTGTGAGGGTGGGGGGAGGGGTGGCTGCAGAGTCCTGGGATTCTGGTGCCCACATGTATGTATGGGGGAGCTTAAAAGGGCAGCCCCTGCCTCCCCCACCAGGGGACTGCTGGCTGCTGGCTGCCATTGGAGCCCTGACCACATACCCAGAACTGCTATACCGTGTGATACCCAGAGGGCAGAACTTCAAGAAAAACTATGCTGGCATCTTCCATTTTCAGGTGAGAGCAGTTTGAAAGTCAGAGCTGTTTTGTGTGTGTTGGGGGGCGGGGGGGGGGGTTGTATGTGTGTGTGTAAGAGAGAATTAAAATGTGCTTTGAAGTTTACCTTTTGTCTCTTCCTTTTTGAAAAATGGCATTTATCAGGGTAGGCTTTTGGCTTTTTTTTTTTTTTTAAAGATATGCATACAGAACTGGGGTACAGGCCAGAGGTGCAGGGCAGTGAGAGGACTCACTTGGGACAGAGTAGGGCGCAGAACAGAACAGGCAGATCAACAAGGTACACTGCCGAGGGGAGCAGCGGGCGGGTCAGGAGAGGTCTGCCGCGCCATGAGGGTCAGCTCCCTGGCTGGGGATAAAATTGTGCTGAAGCAGCAGCGGCCAGTGCTGTGCTTTAACCCAGGGCCATGGGAGGAGGGGGGTTGACCTATCAGGGTAGGCTTTTGCCTAGTTATCAGAAATATAACTACTCACTACAGAAATCATATAAACCAATTTTTTAATCTCCCGCCCAAAGAAAGATTTGTTACCAGTTTGTGTGCTGTCATCTCCTTCTGCCTCTCTCTTTTTCTCTGTCACGGATTTTTTGTTCTCTACATTTAGCCACATGTGGCCAAATTCTGTGTCATGTTTTTAAGAATCACAAGATTTTTTTTATTTTATTTTATTTATTTTTGTGTGTGTGGTGCATTTTTCCATCTCAATTGCAATCCCCTTGGGCTTCCCATCACCAAATCACCTATGTGCCATCACCATAGCACAAGAATTTTTAAGATCTCAGAAATCCCAAAGCCCAACCAAAGTCAAAGATGGGCAGGGTCACCCAGGAGGCCCTGGGCCAGAACCTGAAGATGAGCATGGGAGTGCCGAGGTGGGTGGCTTCAGGCTTTTCACCGTCTTTCACTTGGCCGTCGTGAGTCACCTAGCGTGTTTCCAAGCCTAACCACCAGGAGGTGCTCACGTAACAGAGTTCTCAAGCAAGGGGCTGTGTGCCTGGGAGAAAGACAAGAAACAAGGTGGAGGGAGGGCCGGGGCAGACAGATTCCCCATACCCTACTGAGGTCCATCTTGCTGCCCACAGATTTGGCAGTTTGGGCAATGGATGGACGTGGTGGTTGATGACCGGCTGCCCACAAAGAACGGCAAGCTGGTGTTTGTGCATTCAGTGGAACGCTCGGAGTTCTGGAGTGCCCTGCTGGAGAAGGCCTATGCCAAGTGAGTGCTGCAGCCAAGGATTTGCACTTACCTCCCAGCCTGCTCCTTCAGTTGGCAGCTACAGGGGCAGCAGGAATCAGGGGAGGAGGCGGAGGATTAACAGGGCATCCCTGCCCTGCCATCATCATGCCCTCTGATGTTGCCATGCAAGAGCCCAAACAGGGTCCTCTTTTTTTTCCCCCCACAGGTTGAGCGGATCCTATGAAGCTCTGTCAGGGGGCAACACGGTGGAGGGCTTTGAGGACTTCACTGGGGGCGTGACTGAGAGCGTGGAGCTCCAGAAGCCCCCTGCGAACCTGCAGAGGATGTTAAGGAAAGCCATAGAGCGGAATTCCCTCCTGGGCTGCTCCATCGAAGTAAGCCCCACAGGGCCTTTGCACCTGCAGCACCTGCACCTCTCACTCCAAAGGTCCTTCCCCAGACTCCTACACGACTAGCTCGTTCTCATTAACATTTCCTTTCAAATGCTTTCTCAGGCTCGTCTGCCTCCGAATCTAAATTATTCTTTCTTACCCGCCCCCCCCACCTTGATTCAGTACTGAGTTCTGATTTTCTCTCCAGCACTTAACTAAGATCTGAAGTTGTCCCATCTGTGTATTTATTCATAGTCTATCTACTCCAGATGGTTTTCACATTCCGTGAGGGCAGTGTCTTTATTTGTCAGTCTCTGCTGGATCCTGGGACTCTGGGCGGTGCTTGGCTCACTGTAGACACATTGAGCCAACAAATTTTCAAACAAACAAATGACTCCTGAGTGCTGCTGTGTGACCCAGCAAGTGTAGTCTTGGGCATTTAGCCTAGAGAAATGAATTCTTCTGCCGCACAAGTTTGTACACAGAAGCTCACGGCAGCTTCACTCACAATAACCAGAAACTGCAAACAACCTCCATGTCCTTCCATGGGCGAACAACTCAGCACACTGGTGCTGACCCAGCATGGAATACCACTCAGCTATAGAAAGACCTGAACTCTGATACACACTAACAATTTGGGTGAATCTCAAGGAAATGATGCCAAGTGAAAAAAAAATTCTAAAAGATTCCCTACTATATGATTCTATTACTATGACGTTTTTGAAATGACAATATTTTTAAAAATAGAGAACAGAGTAGTGACGCAGAAAGGGGTGATGAGAAGAGGGCAGAGGGGCCGCCCTTGGCAACCCATGTACGGCGGCCTTGCCAGTGGAGACCGGAACCTGCACACAAAAATGAGTTTTAGTAAAAGTAGAAAAATCTGCAGCAGCTTGACAAATGGCGGATGCCATTGGATGCCAGGATATGGATGATATCCCGGTTGGATATTGCATTTGAGCTTTGCCAGCTGTTACTGCTGGGTCAGGGGGTGCCTCTATTTGTTTCTTGCAACTGCATGTGAATCTGCAATTATTTGAAAATGCAAAGCTTAAATTAAAAAACAATAATACACCTGGGGAGTCCTCCCTCTCGTCCTTGCCCTACTCATCCCTTTGATGAGACCTGAATACTTCTCCCTCTCTGCGCTATAGATCTCCAGTAACACTGAACTGGAATCAATGACCCGAAGGATGCTGGTGAAAGGACATGCTTACTCGGTGACTGGTCTTCATGATGTGAGTGACAACTGCACCTCACCTGGAGGAGGATGATGCTCGCTCTTGACCTCTCCTCCTCATGCCCCGTCCCCTTCCAGATCTGCTACCGAGGCAAACTGTTAACACTGATTCGAGTCCAGAATCCCTGGGGCCGAGTTGAGTGGAATGGAGCCTGGAGTGACAAGTAGGTACCGGGAAAGGGCACAGCAGACCACGAGCAAGGCCAGGGAGAGCCCCTCCCCTCTAGTCTCCATCTAAAGCAGGACCCCCAGTGCTTAGTGGGGATAGGGGATAGGGAACCCCTCGGGGAAGGAGGTCCCTCCTGATGCCCTTCCTTTCTCCCCCCACCGCCTCCCTCTGCTCCAGCTCCAGGGAGTGGGAAGAGGTGGCCAAGGACATCCAGAAGCAGCTGCTGCACAAGAAGGAGGATGGGGAATTCTGGTCAGCGAGGCTCGGGGTCCATTTCCTTCTCCCTCCGCATGGCATCCTTTTACCTCCCCGCCACCCACCCACCTGTGCCTTGGATGGAGAGGTCTGGCGGGTTATGAGTGGGATGTGTGCCACTCAGGGGCTCTACCCCGCCCCCCAGGATGTCCTATGAAGACTTTCTGAACAACTTCACCCTGCTAGAGATCTGCAACCTGATGCCCGACACACTATCTGAGAACAAGAGCTGCTGGCACACCACCTTCTACGAGGGCAGCTGGCGGAGAGGCAGCACCGCAGGGGGCTGCAGGAACCACCTGGGTGGGTGAGGGGCAGGGGGTGGGCACTGACCGGTGCACCCACCCTGGAGCCCAGGGTCACAGGAATCAGGGCCCACACCGAGGTTAGGGCCCCCCAGGCCACGCTGGGAAGGGCATCCTCACCCACTTCCTCCACAGGCACGTTCTGGACCAACCCCCAGTTTAAGATCTCTCTCCCTGAGGAGGACGACGCCGATGATTATGACAACAGTGACGCTGTCTGCACCTGCCTGGTGGCCCTGATGCAGAAGAACTGGCGGCGGGGGCGGTCCCATGGAGGCCAGCTGCTGACCATTGGCTTTGTCATCTACACGGTGGGTGCTTGGCCCACTCCCGTCCCCTCCCCGGGTCTCAGCCCTTCCACTGGGCCCTGCAGTCCTGCCTCTTTCTAAAGGCACATTGCGCTTTTGAGGTGGGACTGGCCATCTGATCCCCCAGCCTTTGCAGTCTAAGTATCTCGAAAGCACTTCCTTAGTGCCAGGCATTATTCAAAAGCCTCGTGGATAGCAATGCATGCCTTAAAGGAAGAGAAAGGACATTGACAGGCAGAGAGGGGAGGTCACTTGACTAAGTTAACACATGGAAGGGCCAGCACCAGAACCTGTGTCCTGACTCCTGGACACCAAGACAGCTCCACATACCCCCACCAAAAGCATTGACTCCAAAGGCCAAGTGTTTCCCAAAGGAAGCTTTGCAAAATCTTAGAGATAGATGTTTTGTTCACTCACTTACATGTCCAACAAGTATTTATGGGAACACTTGCTCTTTGCCAGGCCCAGACCAGTCTTCAAGCGTTCAATAGTGCTAAATATCAGACAACATCCGAGTTGTTTTTTTTTAATTTATATATTTATGCATACAGAACTGGGATGTAGGCCAGAGGTGCAGGGGCAGTGAGAGGATTCATGAGACAGAATAGAGAGCAGAATTGGCAGATCAAAGAAGTACATTGCTGAGGGGTCAGGAGAGGTCTGCCTCACCATGTGGGTCACCTCCCTGGCTGGGACTGAACTCATACTGAAGCTGTTACAGGGTAGCCCAGAGTGGACTGGGCCGCCTGTCTGTGGGGCCTCACCCACACACTCACAACTCAGTTATACTGCAGGTACACACAAAAGGGTCAAAGGCTTATTTACAAAAGGGAAAAGGAATAGGAAACAACCCAGGGAAAGAGAGCGGGATACAAAGTAACTGGAACACCATATGGCTAGGCTGACTGAACACACAGAATCATGCAGTCTGGAGAGCTGCTGCAATCGTGCCCTATTTATCCCCCAAAAGTCCCAGAATTCCTGCTAGCTCTGCCCTTGGGTCCTCGCCGTTCTCTCCCTGGTACTGCTGGGAGTTGTAGTTTCCAATCACTGGAGTAGGGGGTAGAGTCCAGAAA